AAAAATTCAACTTGTAGTAAATGTATACCATGCGTCATGAAATTATTATACAAGTATAACTTCCATACAGTTGCGTTTACTAATCTGTACATGGCATATAAATTTATATTAACTCTTCCATGCACACAAGTACATTGTGAAAGATCATTTTCCAAATTAAAAATAATCAAAATAAGACTAAGATCATCAATAAGTCAAGAACTATTAGAACCTCTATTACTTATTAGCATTGAAAGTGATAAAGTTCCTGATTTAGAAGAAATAATAAGTTGTTATGCATATTCATCAACAGAATTAAAAAAATTGATTGTATATTAATCATCTATATTCATAATTTGTTTATTATTTATTATTAATTAATTTTCGAGTGTTAAAATTTCATAAATGTATTTTAATTATTTAACTTGTTAGTATAGCCAAGAAGGCAATTTTTATAATAAATGTATTAAAAAAATATGTTATGTGTTTCTAATTGTACCTAAATGGAGGGCCCCTTTTTTATTTAACCGACCAAGTAATGTGTGCCCAGGCCGCCACTGTTCGTATTGAAGTATTGATAATTATAATGGTAATTTCGTTTAACCATGAATTAAAATAATATAAGTATATTTTAAATAATATTTAAATATATTATATTTACTATGGTTTAGCATAAAAGTTTTTATCATATATGTTACTCTATAAATATAAAAATTCCTGAATATTTGTTATCGTTTAATCGGGATCGCGTCAAGCCATTATAATGTGATTAAAAAAATTGGCTATAGCAAAATATGTACAAGTTGAGCATATTATATAATTTTTCCGTATTTCTGTCCACGAGCAACATTTTTTTCTAAGTAATATGATATTACATGTTGTATGAAAAAAGGTCAGTTGGGATTTTGGCCTGGGGCGTCGTTAAGCCTTACGCCGGCCCTGCATCTATCAAGTAAATTAGTGCGACGCGGCTGAAATTCGAATCGCGCCGCGCCATGGCGCGTCTGCAGACGCGTCCATAGGAATCACACCTTAAGTATTTTATTTATGTTACAACAGGTATTTCAGTTCCACCGAAAAAAAGAGCAGAAGGGAGGTATTTTTTTAAGGAGAATGGTACCAAAAACGATTTATCTGCATTTATTTTTATTTTCCGATTTGAAGCTCATTTTTCAATTTGGGTAAGATGTGATTGAAGAGTGGAGTGTGCTGTTAACATATCACTATGATTGCATAATAAAGCTGTGTCATCGGCATATGTGGCAATAAAGATATTATAAGTAATATAAGTTTTACAATTTAATTTTAAAGTGATCTTAAAGGCTATGATTTTAAAGGCTTGTTTAGTAACACTTAATTTTTGAAATCTGATTTCATATACAGAAAATAAGTAAACTCGTAGGTTTGAACACAAAAAATTTTATAAAAAAGTATAGATATATAACCTATATTAAAGTCACATGGCGATATTAATTCAAATATCAAACAGTTACAATCGTTATCAAATTTTCTAAACAGTTCCTAACCGTGTCATTACTATTAAAACCAATTAATCCAGTATAAATTAAAAATTAAATAAATAAATGTTGAACCTCTAGAACACCTAGATACGATTTAATAACCAACATTTTGAAATAGCTATCGCACAAATCTATTCTCTTTTTAGCTTTAATTTATAACACCACACTGAGATTTTTATATTCTCCTAATATGGAAATTTTTACCGTAACAATGATACCCAAACCAAACAAACCAAAACACTTAATCAATTCATATAGATTCATCAGCATTTTACCAATATGTAGCAAACTATTTGAAAGCTGGGCCGGCTTAAGCAAAAATAATGCACTAGGCAAAATCAAATTTTGCTGCCTCTAAAAAAAATTGAGCTCTAATTTTAATTTAATCTCTTCCCCTATATTTTATGTGACATATCAAACATAAAAAAAATTTTAATTTTTTATTATATGTATAAAATTATATGTAAAAGACTTAAAAATTATTTCTACTATTTTTATTCAAAACCCATCACTATTGCGACTATCGGAAATCGCGGAAGTGATTGTGTGGTTATTTATATTCTTGGAATAATTGAAAACGCCCAGCATAGGCCGTAATAGAAAGTTATATAATAAATTTAGACAATATTATTTTATTATATAGGTAAGTGGTTTTCACGAATGAATTAATTCAAATATTTTTATTTTAAAATACTGATACAACTATAAAAAATGTACGAGTTAATTTTGAAAATGCCGCCCTATTGAAGTGCCCCGCTCTAGGTAGATTTCAGTCAATTAGTTTACGGCTAATTACCGAATTTCCGTGTTGTATTCTGAACCCAAATATGAGAAACGTAATATCAAATTCCTATTTTCATTCCTTAACCAGCTGAGAAGAATAACTTTTGAATTTTTTATTTCTATTTTTTAGAAACAAATTGATATGAACACTATAAAATATTACAATTGAAAATCTAATCATCTTGTAAACAATTATATAAGAGTAGATATTTAGAACTTAATTATTGATTAGTACCAGGTGGTTTAATGGGACTCCTACAGTAGGAGTGAAAGTTTCAAACAATGGTTTCATAGTTATAGAAGTAATAGTTAATATAAGTTTTAAAAAAAAGGAAAGTGTATGCAGTTAGGTACATATAATAGCTATTGCAATAAAATATGCTGTACTACTCTGTATTATATATCGCAACCACTTAGTGAAATCACTCATTTTAAGTAACTGACGTGTTTCTACACTAAATTAAAAATTTTTCGACTTTTTCATGAAGCTGATAAAAGTAATTTTATCCACACTGTGAAATATTTGATTTTCAAAATTAACTGTAAATAATTAATTAAATAAATTAACTTAGTATGTAATTAATTGTGGGTATACTAAACTAAACAGTGAGAGCAGACCCGAATCAAGAGGAGGGAAACATAGGTCCACGCCTAAGGCGGCTTTATCATTTTGATATTATAGATAATTTTTAAAAAAAATTACAATTTCTAGTACCTACCGACTTAAATCAAATTATGTATAGTAAAAAATAAACTATATATTATTTTGTATTATTTAAATTAGTAGTGATTTATTTGTCTGCAAATGTATTGATTTAATAAATTTTTAACTTTACATAAATAAATTGAATGAATTCAGAATTAAGTCTGTATTAGTATTTCTTATGTAAAAAAAAATTATTTGATGTAGTATTTACATGCAAGGGGCTGCAAAACTTGAATTTGCCTAGGTGTGAGTAAACATTTGAGCTGGGCCTAAATGAGAGTAAGTCCGTACATTTATCAAAAAAACTAATTCCGAGTTAGGTTTTATTTTTGGACTACTTAATATTTTCGTTGATTTCTGTGAACTTACTAATCAAAAACTTTTGATCCACTATTTTAATTACTGCATATATGGTAAGTAAATAATACTCTCGACGAGTTTTTGTATATAAAGAACAAAAAAAATATTTTTATTTATTATATTTAATTTTTATAATAATGATGTTTTTAATTAAATTCTTACGTTTCAGTTTTAATATCTTTAATTTGCATTTACTTTTCTTAATGATTTTTTTCTTTAGTTTTGTAGTACAATATTCTAGTAACTTCTAAAAAAATAATTCATTTTCCATGTTATTTAATATTATTTACTATTCAATTACTAAAGAACTGATATAAGGAAAAATATTGTCAACGGACATAGGCTCCTACTATGTTACAGATGAAATATATATATTTAATATATGTATGTGACCAATAAGTTTAAATTGTTTGATAAATTTGCATAAAATAACTACCTAATTGACCAAAAAATCAGTTTATACAATGCACATGATACAAATTATTTACATCAAATAGGTTGAACATAGTATAATATTTTATATTCATTGAGCATATTAACTGTACAATAATTTTTAAATACTACGAGGTATGACAGAAAAATAACGAGACTTTCTAAGTATAACATAAACTATTTACGTTATCCATAAAACGATTATTGAAATACGATAAGAAAACGCTTATCTAAAAGTACTATAAGTATTGACAAAATTGGTTCATTTTTTCATACGTTATTAGCCTTGTGATTAGTGCTAGTTCGACAATACTGCCGAAAAATGTTAGATTTAAAAATCGAACAACGAGTTAACATTAAATTTCTTGTAAAATTAAAAAAAACTGCCACGGAATCGTTTCGAATGTTAAGTGAAGTTTATGGTGAAGAATGCTTATGCAGAGCTCATGTTTTTGAATGGTATAAACGGTTTAGCAGTGGAAGAGAAGACGTTGAAGCCGATGATCGTCCTGGACGTCTTCAACAAATGAAAACATTGAAAAAATCGAACAAATTATTCGGCAAGATCGTCGATTAAGTGACGATTAAGAGCTGTAGCAGAGATGGTAAATATTGATAGAGAAAGTGTTGTAAAATTTTAGTTGAAAATCTGAACATGAAAAAATGTGTGCCAAAATGGTCCCTAAAAATTTGACGGTTGATCAAAAATTCAATCGTAAAAAAATTTGTTCAGATACTTTAAAAATTATCAAAAACGATCCATTTTTATTAAATAGTATTATAACGTGTGATGAAACGTGGATTTTTACATATGATCCTGAAACTAAAAGGCAATCCATGCATTGGAAGACACCAACTTCCCCAAGAATTAAGAAAGCACGAATGAGCAAGTCAAAATTCAAAGCAATGCTCATTATTTTTTTTGATATTAAGGGAATAATTTTTGTTGAATGGGTGCTTAGTGAACAGCAGTCAACCAATATTATTATAAAGAGGTATTAATTAAATTGAGAGAACGAGTTAGAAAAAAACGACTAGATCTGTGGAAGAATGGCTAGGTTCTTCACCAAGACAATGCTCCAGCTCGCAGTGCATTTTCAATTCAACGTTTTTTGACTGAAAAAAAAATTTCTATATTGCAACATCCACTGTACTCACCAGACCTGGCTCCTTGTGACTTCTTCTTATTCCTAAAAATTAAAAGTTCATTAAAAGGAACCCATTTTCAAACAGTTGATGATGTAAAAATGAAAACGGCAGAACTTCTAAAAGGGCTGACTGAAAACGATTGGCAACATTGTTTTCAAGAATAGTAGCAACGTATGCAGCTGTGTATAGATGCTGAAGGTAGTTACTTTGAAGATGATAATCATTAATTTATAAAATTTAAAAAATAAATAATTTTACTAGAAAAATCTCGATACTTTTTTGTCACACCTCGTATATTTGATAAATCTTCAAATAAAATTATCTGATCAATTAACAAGCATAACAATTTACAAGTTACAAATAATTTACTTCAAATTTTAATTTTATATTTTTACTACCCAATTACTAAGTACATACATAGATAATTTCATAAAAATCTAGTGCATATCTTAAATAATAATAAATAATACAATTTAAAATAAACTAAATTATTTAAGCAAAATAAAGAAAAAAAATTGTCATTTATACTATTTAATTTCATATTGAATCATAAAATTAACCTAAAAATTAAATATATCACAGTGGAAAATATTACTGCTTCATGAAAAAGTTGAAAAATTATACACTTAGTATAATAAATGTCAATTTCATTAAATGGATACATACATAAATTATAAAATATAGTATAAAAGTATATTTCCACCAGAATTTTGAATAAAATATACATTTTCTAAACATAAATAATTTTTGTATAATGATAATTTTTTTTGTGAAATTATAAATATTAAATTATAATTTATCAAAAAATAAAAAATAAAAAAATTGCCTTTTTAATTATGAAAATATAATTTCTATTTGCTGGCAAAAACCCTGCACACAATTTCGTTCTATAGATTTAGTAACTAAACTATAAATTAACACAATTGTAGCCAATAATATCATTATAATAAAAGTTGTTAAAAGGTAATGATTATTCATGTATAAGCTCAGTGGTAAAATAGATTGCCAATAGATAAAAATTAAAAGTATTAAAAAAAGTATGAAATGCCTTATTGATATTATTTGGTTTATTACCAAATTTTCATTACAAATTTGAAGGCTATCATTTTTCAACTTTTGTAGTTCAATCTTACGTAGTAAATCTGAAAATTGATATAATTATAAATAGTATAATATATTTTCTATAAATTTATAAAAGTTCCTTACTGTCATTAATTTTAATATCTTTGTCAAAATTATCTTTGTTAGCTGTTATCTCAAACACGGCTTCAATTGATTCATGATCTGAATAACTAAAATTTTGTCCAGGAACACGTGATGGTAATGCATATCTATGTTCTTTTACACTGACCTAAATTTGTTAAATATATTATAAAGACTTGTATAGTCAAAGATATATTTTTTTATTATATTTTTGCAGTTATTTTAATAAAGTAAACAATAAAAATATTTGCTTTTATATAATAAAACTCTTGTATGTTATTCTTAGAATATTGTTATTATAATTTAAAACTGTAATTAATTTAATATAATAAGAACTCCATTGTAAAAATAATTTTATATATTTGAATACTTACTGAATTTTTCTTATTAAATTTATATAGTATATAATCTATACGAGATTCACCTTCACTTGGATTTCTATAAGAATTTTGCGGATGGCTAAAAGTACATTTTACACTATTTGATGGGCACTAAAAAATAAAATATATAATATCAGTATCAGTTTTTTTTTTTTATAGTTATTACAGTTGTATTTATAAAAAAGGTTCAAAAAATATAAAAAAACTAATATTGAATGAGTATTGTACATTAATTTTAGTTAGCTAATAAGTGTAAATTGTATTTTAGTATAGTTAGTATTATAAATTGAAAAAGAATAAGTATTAATTTCATTCATAAATTGATTCTGAGTAGAGTTAAATGAACAAAAAATAAAATAAAAGTATTTTTGTAATAACTTCATTAGTTTATATAATCATTTTTATAAAAAAGATAGTTTAAAAATAAATTTCTTTTATTATATTAAATTTATTTTGATTTATAATATATATATTTGTATATTTAAAAAAAAAAAAATCTTATGGTTTGTTTAGATTCTAAATTTTTTAATTTTCTAAACTTTATAACTTCAAACACCGAAATACTTACAGCTAAATAACAATCCTTCATATTTGCACCAAAGCTTATTAACTTATAACAAATGTCATTAGGATCCGAGTTGATATCTCCGGCTAAAATTGCTAAGTCAGAACTATTTGATGTAATACGTATGAAATTTGCTGTTTCAAATGCTTGAATAACTCGATGTATTATATATTTATCATTTGATGGATTATAACAAGCATGTAGCTAAAAATAAAAATTGTTACTTATAATTGACTATGCAAAAATATTTATAGGTATTAATAAATTTAAAAAAAAAGTAGGCCTTAAAATATCATTATTAAGTACATTGGATATTGTCTCTATAATATACTTTTCAAAATTATTTTAAATAATATAAAATAAGATTTAAAAACTTTAAACAAAATATAATAATTATTATTGCATTATCTATTAAAAATAAATACTCTAATTTAAAGTAATATTCACAACGTAGGTAAAATGGATAACTGATACTAAGAATCTAAACATTCTAAATTGTTATATTTAAATGTTCAATTTTCATATACTATATTTTTATAGAATATATCTATTAATAATATTATGAATATATAAGACTTAACTTATTAGTGTACTTTACACAATTATGCTAGGTGTTATTATATAAATATTTTATCCAACAAAATATATAAAAAAATTACATGTGTAGTGTATACATCAACAACAAATCCTTGTACATCAATACGACATAACCCAACTCCTTTGCCACCAAACCAATCTCCATGCATCACCATATGTAGATAACCATTCAAAATAAATGAATGGTAATGAATGTCAATGATTGGGTAACAAGACATAATGCACATTCCTGATCCCAACATGCCACTTAAAAGGTAAAACAATATTTAATTTTCATATTAATTATTTTTCCCATCTAAGTAAATTTTTAGATTGTAATCAGTGACAATGAAGTTCCTAGACACTGTACATACATTTTAAGATAAATTAAAGGCTTAAATATATTATTGTTAGACTTTTATAATTGAGAATTTGACAAGCATAACAACTTCACTACATTAGTAAGGACAATAGTTAAATTAATATCTTTGAAAATGAGAGAATATCTTATTTTATCTCTATACTTTTGATTTCATAATAACTTTTTACTATGGACATATTTTCACCAAGGCCTTTGATGGAAATTGGAACTGTTATTAGGTCTTTATTAGACTTAAATTCATATTATGACATATAATATCAATAAATTAGCCACTTTTACCTTATATGATAGATATATATATAGCTTCTATATTAAAACCATCTTACCTATTGAAATAATGAATGTACTTAAACTTAGTTTTACAATATTCCTTCAAATATCTCCAATCATTTTCACACCATAATTCTTGAAGACATACAATATCATATTCACCGTTTCTCAATCTGTTAGCTAATGCCTTTACTCTTTCAGTTCGATTTTCTGAAACTAATCTTAAACCCCTGAAATGATATATCTGTTTTTAATACAACACAGTAGGGTTTTTATAATTATAAGAAAAGCTTACCATATATTCAATGTAAATACACTCAATTTCATTGTATTTAAAAATGATTTAGGTATAAATAACCAAATAGGTACTAAAAATTAAAAATGTATGTAAAACAATAAAATTAGTTGTATCTATTACAACTGTAACAAAGCACCATTTATGTCTGTTACTAATACTCCACTTCAAAAAACTCCAATCTAATATACTATGTAACTAGTAAATGTATTTATCGTCTTGTGGGTTAAAAATTATTATTTAATTTGTTTTTTATGAAAATCACATTTCAACAATTAAGATTATGACGAGTAACAATACCAATTAATGTTAAATCATTAGGTAACAATATTATACTATAGTTAAGAAATTTAATATAATTTGCATTTGATGTGTTGGGTAACTATAATTGTTACACGCAGAAAAAAATGTAATTAGTAAAATTGTTATCACTTATCACTTTTTTGCTATATCCACGCACAGATATCTATATTATACGAGATAAGGTACTCGTGACGTTGCACATAGGAAACATTGAAGTCAGATTTCAAAGATTGGATCTGCGTCAGGACAAATTTCAACGTTCCAAGTGCTTACCACGTATGCGCCAGGAATTTTGTCTAAAGTAAAATCATTAATATTTTAGGTCGATATATTAATGTTTCAACATCGATGATTTGTTTTCGATTAATCGATTAAACATTGATGTATATGTACGAAATGATCAAACTTAAAAATCAATGTTTATGTTCGAAAAGTACGAATTTTTTTTTTTTTTGTATTAATTTAGTATGCAATATATAAACATTGTTTCACAGTATACACTATACAGTTATAATCATAGCTCGTAAGTTTATGCACTAAAAGCGCATAAATAAACATGCGATAAAGCACTAACATTTGATCAAATATACATTAAAAATCTTTAACTATGTACGAAAAAAAAAGTTTAAGGATTTATTATAATAATAAGAATCATCTATTTATATTTTTAAAAGTTTTATTTTTTCTTCGGTTACATTTTATTAAAATTATAATTAATGAACGAATGTTACGAAAATAGACTAATTGTATTAGGAGAGTGGTAGTGGTGCGCAATAACATTATTTTCGTGGTACTCCATTTAACTTAAATGTAATGTCATAAAAAAATAAAAATATTGATAAAATACTAAAATTTTATAAACAAGTTCGGAAAAGTAAATAAGAATGAATTCAAACATTTATTGATCTAATTTTTTTTTTTGACTTCCACAAAAAACGATTTCGTTGAATTTAGATAAAATAATATGCACTAATAACTCAAAAAAAAAAAAACTAATTGCCAAATATGCCAATAGACACAAAACATTCAAAAACATGCTCTATTTAACTTTAGATTTTTATTACTATTGTTATGAAACGGATTTCTATCTCAATTAGCATATTCTCCAATTTAGCAAAGAAAACATGCAAATGCATGAACTTACGAGCCCTGATTATAAGTATTTAATATGTTTTTAAAAAATATAAGTTAAACATAGTATTTTAACTCTTAAATGTATTACTTAATCAAGAAAATAGTCACTGTGCAGATAATAAGGTGTGCAACCAGTGGCGGACGCAGAAAAAAATTTCGGAGAGGTTTTGAAAAAATAAGAATAATTACCGTCGGCCCTGTTTTTAAAAATTTGGTGCCCCGGGCATATTATTTATGCCCCCTCCCCAAAAAAAAAAAAAAAATAATAATATAACACTTATTATTTCATCCATAACTTATAAATGAAAATCGTTTAATACTTTTTTTAATTAACAAATTAAACAAATTATAACATAATAAAACATAGTATTTTCTTTTTTCTATTGTTTAATTTTTTTTTTATTAGGTACATCATTTTTAAATTAATTTTGCTAAAATATGTTGCCACCCTTGAGACTTGACGCTCCCGGACATGTGTTTACCATGGCTTGCGTAGACTTTGTCCGCAGGGGGGCCCAGGGGCAGCTTGTCAGGGAAGACTTTGAGACTGCGTCTCCTCTTAAAAATAAACTAGCTACTTGTAAATAATATAATTAATTAAAAATAATAATGTATAGAAATATTTTCATTTGTATTTAAAATATATTATTATATCGTTTTCATTGTTTATAATTATATTAAATTGAAAGTCACAAAATCGAAAACCTATTAATAGCTATTCGATAGAAATACTATTTTAGTCATTCTGCGGGTAATTACGGCTCATTACGACGGTCACCAGTTCAATGAAACTGAAGCCCGTCAGTTGCAAACGTAACATATAATGACATGGCTAGTTGGTCGGAGGGAGCCGGGGAGAATAAGCTGCGTATCATAGACGCTTTTGAACCTGGGTTCACGACAGTAATTGCCGTGCCGCTGCGCCGTGTAGCTCGTGTTTAATTATTTTTACTAGCTTTAGACGTTTTATTCACGGTTTATTAATTATTTAATAATTATTATACGTATATCCGTCTAACATTTATTATTAAATTTTACATTTATAAAAGCATTTCAGCATTTGTTCATATTTTAAAATGCAAAAAGAAAATATAATAGAATTTTTACTAACCAGTGGTTTTAATGCTTTAACATACGAACAAAAAAATCAAATTAAACTTAATCGCCCAACTCCTCATTTATTATTAACATGTCAAGACGGTAAAGGTATTAAAACATTTCAAAAGAATTGGTATAATAAATTTCCATGGCTTACTGGTTGTGATAAACGAAATAAAGTGTTTTGTTTTACTTGTGTAATATTTGGAGGGGAAAAGGAATGGAGTGTTAATGGATTGTCATCAATAAAAATTTTTTTAAGGAAATCAGAAAAACACGCCATTTCTCAAAATGATTTAACTAATCAAGAAAAATGTCATCTATTGGGTAAAGTCCGAATTGAACACGTGGTTTCAGAAGGTCGACGACTTGCTGCTGTAAAACATAACGAACAGGTCGGTATAAATAGACGTTTAATAGCACGTATGATACATATTGTTTGTTTTTTGGGCAAACAAGAACTTGCTTTTCGTGGCCACCGGGAAAATAATAAATCTTTAAATAAGGGGAATTATCTTGAATTACTCGAGCTACTGGCTCAAGAAGAGCAGTTGCTTAAAGAGCACTTATTGTCATCGGCAATATTTAAAGGGACATCTAAGATGATACAAAATAATTTGATTGAATGCGTTACTTCCGTTTTGAATTCAAAAATTTTTAATGAAATACAAAGAGTTAATTACGTATCTATTCAAGCACATGAAACGACTGATGTATCGTGCCGATCCCAAATGAGCATAATTTTTCGGTATGTTGTAGAACAAAAAATTGTAGAACGATTTATTGGTTTTTTTGACGTTTCAAAGAATAAAACAGCCTCTGGATTAGCAGATATAATTTTATCTGAAAATTAATAAGTGGAAAATTGGAAATAAAATTATATGTCAGACCTATGATGGTGCATCGGTTATGTCGGGAGAAAATAGTGGTGTACAATTTCTTATAAGGCAAATTTATCCAAATACATTATTTATTCATTGTTACGCACATCAGTTGAACTTGGTATTGTTACACGGAGCGAAGACAATAAAATCAGTCAAACTCTTTATTTGCAATCTAACTATGTTCCACACGTTTTTTAGTCGGTCTACAAAAAGAAGTGAGTTGTTAAGAGAACAAGGTTTTAAACTTTCAAATCAATCTGACACTAGATGGAATTATCATTCAAGAGCTGCTTTCACAATAAAAAAACATTTTTTAGACCTCAAAAATGCTGTTTTACATGTAACTGAAGAACCAGGTTGGGACCCTATATCCGTTTGTACAGCATCTGGTCTTTATGATAAGCTAAATGATGCGAACTTCGTATATTTTTTGATTTTGTTTGGCAAAGTTTTTTTATACACAGATCATGTATTTAACTTTCTCCAATTAAAATCACTTTCGAATATAAAATCTTGCATTTTTGAAATTCAAAATTTAAAAAAAAATTTGACCGATTTAAGAAATGATACAAATGTGAATAACTATTGTGACGAAGCAATACTATTAAACAACAATTTAGAGTACGAAGACAAAAAATGAAACGAATTACGTAAAATTACATATGAAATTCTAGATTCATTAATCGTCCAAATTAACATACGATTTGAAGATTTTCCAAAACTAGAGTTTGTAGAAATTGTAAATGAAAAAATGTTTAAAAGTTACTACACTCAATTTCCTGAGGCAAAGTTCATCAAGTTATTACAGCAGTACCCTAATACTTTTGATGCAGATCGTTTACGCAATGAATTGGCTGTAATTTATGCGGATGATAAAAAACATTTGCCTCCTCATGAACTCCTAGATTTTATAATAAAAAGTAAGTGATAATAATAAATTCATTCAAATTAAATATCATTAATTTTCATATTATATTTAATTTTTCCTTTGAAATTCACAGGTGATTTACATCAAGATATTTATCCTCAGGTGACTAAACTTTGTCAGTTAGTGTTAACTATTCCATCTACGACAGCTTCTAGTGAACGGTCTATGAGTACATTAAATCGTATCAAGACTTTTCTTAGAAACACAATGACCAATGATCGGCTTTCAAGTTTATCATCCTTGGCGATTGAAAAAAATCTACTGGGTGATATGGCAAAGGATCCAACCTTTGTATACAATCTTATTGATGAGTTTGCAGATAAAAAAGATCGAAGAATTGAATTAGTTTATAAACAAATTTAGTATTAAATTATGTTAAAAATATTAATTAAATATTAAATGAAATAATAATATTTAAAATAATTCATTTTTTCAATAAAAAGGTTTTTCTTGTTCGTTGTTATTTGAAATTTATGTTATATAATTTAAGTCTCCCCAGAATATTTACTCACGAGCCGCTACTGGGGGGGGCCCCTTAAAAAAAATGAGCCAAAGATTCTCGTACTTAAGACTACTAGTATAGTTAAATATTTTAAATTTTATAAATTATTTATTTAATTCAATATGCAAATATAAAAATAAATACTATTTAAACTTACACAATTTATATCTGAGAAATCCTCATTTACATATTATTATACTATTTAAAACTCCATCCTTCTGTCCACGAGAGTAAGGTTTTTGAATGTATCAATTACATCTTCAATTTAAGTTAATAAAACATATGGTCCGAAAAAACTGCCAAATGGTATCATTCAACTAGGTAATAAAATAATAAAATTCATTGGAAATACATTAGTTATTGATGGAGTGACACATATTCTTACACCAGGACTTGTGAGTTTATTGTTTTCAAAATATCCATATCATTATACACAGCAAGAATTAGAAAAATATAAATTGATATTAGTACAAACTTCAGCGCATTTAACCTTAGATGGTGCAAAGATTAAAAGTGGTGGGGATAAATATAAAAACATTATTATCAAATTGTTTTCATCTGGCAGTGGACTGGCTATAAAGTTACAAAAACATAATTTAGTATATTGGAACGATCCTAACGAGATTGTCGATCGATTGCGATTACTCTTAGCATCTCAAGCTGCTGGTAATACAGGCGTTTCCAACAAAATAATATCTATTTACGTGGAATTATACAAAGCCGGAATAATAAAACGTATTCCAAATGTCTAAACGGGATATCGCTATAGAACTACACAAACCTGCTAGAAAAAATTACACAAGGCGTAGAGTTAATGTTTATGGCAAAAACGATCTTTGGCAAGCCGACTGGGTCGAAATGATACCATATTCAAAGCAAAACAAGGGATACAAGTACATTCTATGCGTTATAAACTGTTTTACAAAATTTGTATGGGCAATAGCATTAAAATCTAAAACTGCCAAAGAAGTTTCCAGTGCAATGCCGAAAATACTGCTTAAACGCGCACCAAAATTATTACAGCTCGATAACGGTAAAGAATTTTATAATTCTACATTCGACGCATTGATGAAGAAGTATAACATACACAAGTATTTAACTTTTAGCATCACGAAAGCATGCATTGTTGAACGTTTTAACCGCACATTGAAAGAAAAAATGTTTGGATAATTTACGGTGCAGGGCTCGCACAAGTGGTTTTCTATTTTACCGAAACTGATTAACGAGTACAACAACTCAAAACACAGAACCATAGGCATGACACCAGTGCAAGCTGATGCAGATCCAATGACCGTCGTAATTAAACAACGAAAAATTATTAATGGGAAAATCAAATTTAACATTGGTGATAACGTTCGTGTAAGCACGTATAAAGGGTTATTTACGAAAGCTTATTTACCCAGCTGGTCTACAGAAATATTTAAAATTGTGAAAATAAATGAAACTTTACCTATTACTTATTAACTACAAGATTATATGGGAAGACCTATCGCCGGTTGCTTTTATTCAGAAGAATTATTGAAAACAAATTATCCGAATGACTACTTAGTAGAGAAAATTATCCGTAGGAAAGGGGACAAAATTTTTGTTAAATGGCTTGGGTTTGATGATACGCATAATAGTTGGATAAATACGATTGATGTTAAAAAAAAGTATCAGTCTAACTACAGACATGAACATGTTCGGAACCTCTCAGGCTAGTGAAACAAATAAATTTATAATAAATCTCGAAAAGACGATAAAATCATTTACGTCTAAATTGGATAAAATCGAATATTTACTCGAAGAAAATCATAAATCCCTTCAAGTTCAAGAAGAACAAGTAGAAGTGATACAATCGACATGTGTACAAATAGCTGAGCATATGACAAGAGGTGAAGTATCATTACAATTAATCAAAGAAAGTACAGAAGGGTTAAAAAACAAAATACCAGCTATACTTAGTCAACTCAATACTATTGAAACTTATTATAAAGACAAACCATAATGCCTTCAGCCATCTTGGACATGCAATGCGTACTTGGTTTAAACAAAAAATATATGATTAAAGAAATGTTTGTGGTAGACACAGAAACTTGGGCGACTCAACATTGGATTTTTTAACATTCAAAATCTATGCAGGATAATAAAAGTCGTAAAACCAACAAGTGGCTAGAACGTAATTATCATCAACTATCAATAAAATACGGTGACATCGAGTATGAAGAAGTCGGAAGAATATTGAATTCATTAAAGTTCACCTGCATTTACGTCAAAGGTGAACAGAAAAAACAAGTTCTCGTGGAGTATATACCTCACGTGGCACTCATCAACATTGAAGACTTGGGCTGCCCTCGTTTGGATCAAATATGTGATGACGAAACTTTACCTTGTTGTATTTTTCATATGGAATTTAATCCTAAACAATGTACATTTTACAAAGTATTTGCTATAAGGAAATGGTTTATAAATTATTCTTAAAAATGTAATTGTATTTAATAAACTTAATAATATTTTAACATTGGTTTTTTTTTTCTTTTCACGCTAACTTAGGTATCCTAAAATTGTCAATACATGGTTATAGGTTGCAAGTGATATTATTTATATATATAGAATTAATTACATGAATATACAAAAATATATTAAAACTAACTAAATTTTATTACATTTATTTGAATATATACAAAGTGTTTTTACAAATCCTAATATTCAGTATCAGTTATTCAGTGTTAATTTATTTGTTCTGATTGTCATTAGCTTGTGTTTAAACGATCGTATGGAAACATTGTCTCTACTGACATCCTTCTCGTCCACACCGAACAAACACTTTTTGTGATCGTTTAATGTCATGTGGTTATCAACGACATGCTTCCTGATTCCCTTCGCTTTGATTTTTTCCTTTCCAGCCAAAATATAAGAGTATGATTTAGCTCTCAACGCACAGAACTCAGTCATTATGTCGCCCTTGGTCTCGTCGGAAAAAAGACCGGGAATTTTTTTATGATCGTCTATATATATAGCATGGATGGTCCTTTGGCAGGTCAGACGTATCCATTCGATCTAGCAAATTAGGGTTGATGGTCAAGTCTCCGTAAAAATCTTTCGTATTGATGTGATACACAAGAGAATCTAAAATAATAATAATAATATGTATTAATTAGTATTTTTATACTCACATATTGGTTTTTATATGTATATTTATTCACCTGTATCAGTGTACATAAGCTTAATATTATCTCCATAGTGTCTTTTCATTACGTTATAGTGGTAATCATACATTAATGTTTTGCTGATGTCTAATACTGAAAAACCTATAGAAATGAAAAAATAAAAAATATGTAAAATAAAAGTGTGCTAAGACAAAATTTGATGTTTACCTATATAGAAAGGTTTGTTGAATTTAATAATCTTATTTTCCAATGTTACAGCGTTCAAATTTTCGATAGACGTTGTAGAATGTTTAAAGGTGCTCTTATTTATAAGTTTTTGTAAACGTCTGTCATTGGTTACCAATTCCATTTGTATTCTTTTTCACACGCTCTCCATTGTTTTCCTTACACGAATAGATAAATGTTTAAAGTTTATAAAGGTTTATCAATATATTAACATACCAAATACAGCGTTATTCATGAGTTTGAAAAAATCTCTCTCAAAGTCATTCGTAGCGTTCTTCCTCATCGCAGTATTTAAATTAATATAATCGGCTAACCAAGGAGATTGATTGAATTGCACGACTCTATTTACCTATAATATATTTATGTTATAAATGTTAAATAAATTAAAAAAAAATAATAAAAATATGTTTACTTTTTCACTATCAACCCGTTTGCTATAGCCTGCTGAAGATTACGATAGTGTATTATATAATTGTTTTTCCTCTCGAATGTCACCATCAGTTTCTTTACCTTCGAGCCCATAGGTATACCGTTTTGAGGGAGAAATGGTAAGTCATTATGCTTATCATGTAGGTATTCAGGATAAGACACATCTACCTCGTATATTCGTCCTATGGGCGAAGTCTCATTCAAATCGTTGATCCCATCCAACGTCGGCTTGACCCATTTAAAGTTACCATAGGGCATGCAATGTGACATCGCCCAACCGTACAGATTGTTACCTAAAAATAATTACAGAGCATATTATAATATTTTTGAGAAAAATAAATATATGTATACTTATAATCCTGATAAACCAGCCACGAATGTGACTTCATATCATCATAATCGGGTACCTTCTCACAGTTAGCTTTAGCATAACGCATGCTAGGTTGCACCAGCCCACCTCGTATACCTATAAAAAAATTTAATTCAATAATTTGTTTATTTAATAATAATAAAATAATTTCTAATACTAACCATTTTCAAACATCAACAACATATCATAATCTGACAGCAGTTTCAGCTTCATTGAGGTGTATTTAAGCATACAGTCAAATGAAAACCCTGGAGCGGTGTAATAGTATGCAGGATCTAAGTTGTAAGCCTTCATACACACATCGTGGAAATTTTCGAAAATGTCTGTCAGCAGCAATACATCAATTTTTAAATATAGATCCGAGTATTCACCAATCGTTTTACATCCAAAATGTCTCCACACTTTCATCGAGTGCTCTAACTCTTTATCATCTAGATTCGACTCAGTCAGGATACTGTAGAATTCGGCTTTATCCGGTAACGCATTTTCATCAAGCTTATTTCACGCGTCCGTATATTCATAAGGGTAGACACCCTTACGGGTTACAAGGATCATATCATCAGTGGAAAAATGTTTCCCAGTCTCGCAAAATTTAGAAAAGTCAGGAGTTAACAAATTTTTAGCGAGCTTTGAAAGTTTCGAAGCCATGAATCTATAAGTGTCTATGAGTCTGATTGTAAACGTATTT